TGTATTTTAATATTGACATTGCTGTTTCTAATTTAATAATCTCAATACTTTTTTTAATCTGTACTTCCTTTTCTTCAATCTTTTTCTTACATAGCTGTTAGCTAAAGCACCCGCGTACAAAACTGGACGCACATCATTACCCCCTCTCTCTCGCCCAATAAACACGAAAACCTAACGAGGGCGTCATGTTAACACCAAAAGAAGTATTTTGGTAACGAGAAACGTCAAAATGTGGGCCAAAACTCAGTCATTTTGACGACAAATGACCGAAAAGTACCTATTCGTGACATATCCATCTTCTCTGGGCGTAGCAGACGACCTCGCGCCTTCTCGGCGAAACAAACTTTTGTTTTCTCTCCTATTTACACTGCTACCAATATGTTAATTACTTCATTTGGACATGGGAGATGATTGGAGCCAGCAACAAAGAAATTCCAACAAAACGGCATTCGTTTAGGCATTGGTCGTCTGCTCTCAACCAGTCGAAGTCGGAATGGAGTAGAATTATAATAGTTTGACGTGGGACGCGGTCGCGGTGGTACTAGTGCAGTCCACTCTCTCCGCTCCGGCGTCAAGTCAAGCAGACGACACCGGCAGCTCAGACAGCAATGTACCAAATGGGGAGCTCATCCGTCAAAAAGAGATGGAGTTCGGAACGAGGTGAGTAGTTTCATCAGAAACCCGTCATTTTTTTACTATGAGATTTAAGTTTGAGGTGGGTGGGGCGGCATTTTTAAGCGTCCCCTCCATTCAATCAGTTATCACAGTTCGCTTAACCTAATGTTTTCATTATTTCTAACAGGTGGTCGCTGTTGTGCGCTGTGTTGCAGCGACTGTGCTGATATTATGCCATACATTCTCCATCGGAAGAAAATGATCATTTCGATCAGTAACAACAATGTGCAATGTAGCCTTAGTGGTTAACCTAAGTTCCATACTTATTCGCTAATCGCTCAGCCAACAACGTAAATGGAAGAGGATTATCACTCTTACAGACATGGTTATTCAATTACGGGTACAATAAGTGCAGTGGTGATTATGTGGTGGCATTTGCAGTGTGGGGAGAAGCAGTTAAATTCAAATTAAATTTTATACTACAGCTGCTTACATTTCTTACTTACATATAATTCAAATATTATGTTGGTAATTTTTATACAGTGATTTACAAATTAATGAACCATGCGAATGCTGCAACAAATAAGAAAAGGGGTCATTTCAATGAGAGGTATAGCAGATCGAGCATTTCATGTTTAAGATGTGTTGGAAATGGAGGTGTACTTACCGCTTCATCTCAGTCTTGACAGTTATTTACTCCAATGGCAGTCCCTCCTCCGCCTGGTGGTGCTCATTTTCGTTATGCATTCTTGCCTTGTAGAACCAAAAAACTGTAACAAAAGAAAGAGTGTCATGTAATGAAAATGGTAACTTTTCACCATCACTATATAGCAAATGTATTACGTGTAAGACGTGTCATACGCCAGGTAGTAGAAGTGTACTTACTGCCATTCAGGAGGGGGATAATCCACAGTAGTTCTCTTGTGGTGGCTGCTGCAATTCTATCAATAGTCCGACTTGGGAGGGTGGCCTTCGCCAGCATGATGGATATTGACATCAGGACCACCGCCACGCAGGCTCCATAGATCAACCAGTCTCTGTCAATAGAACAATATGTTAATCATAAATAATACGATTTTGTACAATGTTGTTAATAAATCATTGCAATGTGAGAAGCAGGAAGTAAAAGCTTTATTCGCCTTACTCTTTCTTACGAGGATGGGAAAATACTTCTGTGCATTTGGGGCAAGGATATGATTTAGTTGAGATACTTTTGAACACTAATCATCAAAGGTTTATTATTGTAAATGCCCAAAGTCTATAGTGAGACCAGCCTAAGGTCAAGTCTGGTTTCCACGCTTTCTTACGGCAGCCAGACGAGACCTTATAGTCTGGCCTGGGTATGCAAAGACCGGGCTGGTTGGAAAACCATACGGATTAAGTCCTCACGTCTGACAACATAACCTTACGTCAATTTAACGTCAGAAGGAATCTCGCTTTGCAAAAGCGTGTCAGTTTCGACATAATTCGGAATTCGGCCCAATTCGCCTCTAATCTACTTTCATTTTTGGACCCGGCGTCGCGGAGCAGGCAAGTCTAGATGGGCTTTTGCTGGCGCCGGGATAGGTGCGGGGAAGCATGGCACGTATATGTGTGTGGATTTTATGTGTCAAATGTTGTCCAGGTTCACTTACTTCCACGGCATCTTCAGCTTTTTTCTTCAATCAATAAATAAGTCACAGTCAAATGGTCGTCAAACGCGCCTTCACACGAGAACAAGCACACACACCGACCGGCTACAGGTGGTGGGTGGTGGGGGGTCGAATTTGACGACAGTAACAACGTGTGACGTCATCCCCTTCGTCTGCTACCGGGGCGATATGTAGGATAGGGAATGCCAAACCCTATTGGACACGAAATACTGTCTGACAAATAAATGTAAGCCATTAAATGTATTTTTAGCGGCTGAATGAAAACAAGCCTTCAGCGGAAAGGTGGAAAGTCAGTTCTAGATTGCCCCAATAACTCTGTAGGCGCTGGCTGATGTGGTACTCAAACGTCGACTCTTTTCATACTTTAGTAGCTCCATATTTCGCATATTGCACGACACCACCCCGACGCCCCGACGCCGACGCGAGCAGACAGAACCCAGAACTTTCTTTCCAAAACAAAAACAAAGCAATGGATCGCCGAGTATTGTGAGTATTATGCTTGTGGCGTGATAGTTTAACTGCATTTTCTTTAAGTTTCTCGTCTCCCCCAGGTACCGTACTGTAATAAGCGCCCTTGCCCTCGCGAAATGCTATTACGTCTTTTTTGGTCCAAAGCTAATCCATTCGTAAGTCAGT